TCGAAAATAGTAAAATCCAGAATACATTGATCATTGTTTCGAGTTTGAGGTCGACAACTGGCGTCGGGCTGGTTTGGATCGGCCGCGTTCCCACGTGAATAGCTCGCCGGAATTACAGCTCCTCCGGATCGTTGGGGCGCATCACATTCTGCAGCGGCGGCAGACCGTTTCCTGGACTTTGTCTCAGTGGCAGCGGTGTCTGGTGGGTTGGATCGACCTGGGGCTCCGTGGATGTCGTCGAGGTTTCGGCGCTCCGCTGGCGGTTGGGTGGGGTGGAATCTGCTACATATTTTGACACCGGCCCAAGTCAGACCTTAACAACGACCAGATATGAAACCGTGCTTGGTTGGATCGCTTTCCGGCATCCACTTACCTTCCCATTGGCCCATCCCCGACTTGTGCGGGCGGCTGTGGCGTGGTTGGTCCTGTCCTCAACCTCGTCATTCTTGTGTTTCCCTGATTCAAAGATTGATTGTCCATCGCAGGAGCTTACAGAATGTAATTTGATTCAGACTCGGGGGAGTATTGCTGGAGCTGAATTCAGTTGAGGCAGAAATGTGGTAAGGCATCAGCACGGTGGTGTGGGATTTAGGGATACATCTTCAAGGAGAGGTCTGAGAAGCTGTTCGGGTTATTTAAAAGCACCCCCAAAAGATTCTTATCACGGAATTTTCCAATTGCCCAAAGTACCCTCAACCGGGTGTTTCTCTTCTTTATCTACACCTGTCTGATATGGAAGTTTGATATCGTGTTTGTGGGGAACACGATCTCTGGGATGGATGTATCCGCACCCGTAACAAGCACTCCACTAACCCGGGCTAGTGTCCCCCACACCCTGCACCAAAAAGTTGCCTGAATGAAGGGCGAACCACTTGCGAACGCCGGAGCCAAGGACTTTGCCATCGCCGTCGCGGAACTTTTTCATGTCCAAGTTGGTCAACCGAAATCTCTTCGCGACGAGGAGAATCCCGACTTTTTCCTCGCGTATAACCAATAGTTTGTTATAGGAGACGTCCAGGTTCGGCACATTACCGCGTCGCAGCTCCATCAAGAATCACATGGACTTACCTAGCAGTCTCTATCCACGAAAAACCACGCGCACCTTGGTACAAAGAATCAACCTGGAAATTTTCAGTAGTGAAGTGCAATCTCCCGACCTTCAGCCGCGGGTCTTGCCGGTATTTAATGCTACCCCTGGGCCTTTCGAAATGGCGAGTTCCCTCATCGCTGGAATGGACCCGTTTTCCTGGTGTCTTGCTGGTCTGCCGACCTTGTTACTAGCCAGTTGCCTGGTGTGAAACACTGATTAACTGGGTTAATGCAGCCTCGAGTTCGAGTTCCTTTTCCTCCCTTTCCCCTCCATCCTCTGTTCTTGACTCTTACCATTTCTCAGCAGTTACTCTCGCTATGTGATCTGAGTCTCTGCACATCTTCAATTTCCCTCAGCGAGAGAAGCTGTAGAATTGGACTTTACCACGAGACTGAAGAGGAGAATTCCCCTGTTGGCAGGGTTTTATGTTCATAATTTCATGCCTTGGAATCTAATAGGAGGCACTAACGTTGAAATCAGCTCAGGTTTCCTCGCCCACTCGCTTGTGGACATGAACCAGGCTCCTCTTTGCACAGCTTATGCATGCCCTTGCAAAAGCCGCTGTCCGTCGTGCTGGATAAACTAAAGGACCCTTTGTTGAGGACCTATTTTAACCAAAACTCCTCCTTTTGGGCGCTAAATCAATAACAGCCTTACCGAGTTAAGTTGACAATGATCAACTCAAAAGTGCATGCCTGCCAGGAACGAAATCTTCAATATGTAGCACATGGGATCGACAATCCCGGAATAATGTGATAACGCAAGGAAAAGGATATTGGGAAATTCCATGACAATTCATTCTGTGCGTTTAGTTTTCTTGTAACCAGGGCGCCATGCGCCTCGTTCACAATTAGTTTCGTGTGTAGCCTCGGGGAGGTAGTTAGTCTTGATCGTCTTCACCTGTAGGCGTTGCTTGCCGTGCAGTGTCCCTTTCATTCTACTGCAAACTACCCCATAATGTCATAACTTCCAGAACAAAAACGCAGAGGCCTCCATACGCGCTAACCTCAGTCGCTGCATAAACATGTATGAAACAGCAGGGATATTTGCCGAATGACATCACGTCCACCAGACCCGCTCCTCTGCATTACCCCGCGTTTCCGAACATGGCTGGTGTGGTGTGGTTTGCAGTTTGTTTTCTGCCTTGTCCATTTCCTGGAGCCTCAGGATCAATATCAACCAACAACGCATGGATCCGTCAAGTCGGAAATACGCCGGAGCTGAAACAAAAAGATCAGTGAGGGGACGAGGCCGAATAGAAAAGCAGATTTATTCATTAAAGTTAGTCATCTTGAAATTGCGCAATCTTTTCCCCATTCTCATCCCTGTTTTCAAATGAGCATATTCCTTTTGCAATGGGTGATTCGCTACCCCAATGTTTCAGCAGCACCACCTTTCAAGAACAATGATGTAAGTGTTCGAGCCGCATGCCAGACAATGTTGCCTCTGCCTGTTTGTCATACAGGCAAATAACGGCCAAGGTTTTCAGCCTTCGCCTCCTCCTCCGCTCACTTGAGGGTGATCTGAGACTCTAGCGAAGGATCCAAGGCTTTGAAGCGCATATGAATAGAGCTGAGGTGGGGGGGTTCAATTTTCCCTTCCAAACAAGGACGGCTGGAGAGTTGCTATCTTGGGCTCTAAATCAGCTTCCTGTTTTCATCGGATGACCAAGAGGAAAAGGAATAAATAATTGGTTTGCAGGATGGATCATTTTCGCCCTTGGTGAAATAATCCAAAATTCGACGATGCGCTCCACCGTTTCCTGATGCAAATATATCATTCTTAAAAATGACTAGAACGCCCTGAAAGCAAGCATCGACAAGCCTATAGGACCCACAAACCTATTTCATTCCCACCCCTTTCGCGCCATTACCTCAGGAAAGAAGAACAGCATGTTGTCTTCCTTGCCGTGAAAACCTCCGAAGCCTACTCAAGTGACTGGAAGGAGAGACAACTCTCGTTGGACCAACCACCAGCAAAGTAAGGCGAGAGTGAGAGAGCGTCGAAAGAAAACAGGGTCATCAAACTCAGTGATAAACTTCGAACAACTACGGACATGAAAAGGGCATGAAACAAGGTGTAGCATTGACAACGCCCTGTCCGTTGGGCCTCTATACAGCAGCCTTCGCTTTCGGAATTTCCTCCAATGGATGATTATTGTGCCTCCCTGCCTCAGCTCAGGGGGTTTTCACGTCTTAAAAAGCGGGTCCGCAACCGTACTTAGTCAGTTGACATCTCTGATGCAAACAAGAGTCGACTTAACTTGTCAATGACTCTGCAAGTTGAGAATGTATAACGCACCTGTTGGCTGGAATCTTCATCTTATTGAGTTAAGCAATCGTCCCGCCCCACATCCATGTGGCAGTGCTCGACCCTCAGGGGATTAATACTACCGACATCAGCGAACTCTGTCTTGCCGCCGCCGTGCCTGGGTTGTTGTGAGCATAAAATGGTATCAACTCTGCTCAACAAGGAGTCTGCCAAGATTATCGAGAAATTCTGAGGTTTGTGCCCAGTTTCTAATTAAAAACTCACCCGCATTCTATCTACTTTGGAAATGTGGACGTACCAGGGAAGCATTTGACGAGCTAGGAACGTTGCATCACCTTCACCATTTTCCGAAATAGGGCTGTATTTGGCAAACGCATTACATAAAGTGACAAATCAGGATCCAGAAGAAATGACGCTTCCCCGGCCACTTTGCATGTGTGCAACGTGAATTCTGCCTTGCTTAGCATCAGGCCTCCTGATATTGTTTCCGCTGATGTCAGCCTGGCAGTATCCTCCAAGGCTCTAACCATTTCCTTTCAGTCTATTACCATAGCCATGTGACCGGCCTCTCCACTGCATACCATCTGCTCCAGGCACCAAAGGGGCTGCCTCTAAGCTTCAAGAAAGTCCAAAGGCCCGCCAAAATTTCAATAGATCTTGGCCCTGATGAGCATGGCGGACAATCCCACGCGACAAGGTCTTGACTTGGAAAAGTTGGATCCGTGAATCCAACAATAACTTCTGGCGGAACCTCGATATGCCCAAGCGGCTAACCACTTTCGAGCAGGCGAATTGGCGGTGTAGGAGACGAACTTTCTCACATTCCTTTTGTGAGCGTCATTCCACCACACCGAAGTATTCGGTACTGCGAGCGCTGACTTCCTCCACATAGTAATGAATACCGACGACTCAAGTTCTTCCCGAAGCCACTTTGGCATCCGGCACCAGAGTTCAGGATTGGCTAGTGTTGGTTATGAAAGCCGTTTGCAAGTAGCTGAGGGAGAATTGAAAATAAAAAATAGTTTCGTAGATGCATATTTGGCGCTTACGATGGACAGGACATCGATGCGGCAGTTCAGATTAGGTGATAGACTCGACTTTCTTGCTCATGTCGATCGAAAAAAAAAAAAAAAAAAAAAAAAAAAA